TCAAACGTTGAAAGAATTTCTTACGTCGATGCAGAAATGTAATTGACAAGCGATAATGCCGACTGCGATTCAGTAGTATCCTAAATACCTGATCTTGAGTATTTACTTACGATTAATTTCTGTTACTTCCAGCTAAAAAGGGTTGAAAAGGGAATCGTAGCCCCGAGTTTAGCCTCGTTGGCTGCTTCAGGAGTACGTACGTCGTGCATGGGTGAAAATTGTTGCTCATTGCCTTGAGATGATCACATCTGTCAGCCATTTTATGGTCATTTTTGTTTGCCATAGGTTACAAAAGTTGTATGACCTTGGGGCCCATTTTCGTTCATTGATATGATTGTTAATTGCGAAAATCTCATGTTATGATCGCCAAATCTTTCAAATTTAGGCTTGCTCAATTGGATCGTAGAGGGGTTTTCGACCGGATGCATCGACCTGCACTCTTTTTGATTGCTGACGAGGGATGCATATTTTTTTGCAGCCTCCTAGGAACATACAACCCAGATAGGATCGTGTCTTCTTATTTTTATAGGAAGCGATTTCCGCAATTTTTTAAATGCATAAAAATGCATGTTTTTACAATTTTCTCAACAAGTTCATATTTACGTTTATATGTGCATATTTATGCATTTTTCGGTCATTTTTTATTAAAAGAGTAAGAGTTCTCCAACAATATGTTTATTTATGAGCAATCTATGACAATTTTCAGGTTGTTATGCGCTGGCTGAAGTGGTAAATCCCCCGAAACTCTGTTCTAAATCCATCCGCTGCCACCACCCCTCTCGAAGAGATTCGAAAAATAGACTCTGTTAGTTTCCTTTAGCCCTCCCTTGGCGAATTCCTGACTTCGCCGCTGGTTGTCACAAGAACAGATCAACTATGCTCAGTAGAGGCATGACATGTACCTTGAATTTCCTTCACCTGAAAAATTCGTACTGCGTTTAAAAGAGTATGATTTTGCATATTTTCCCATTTTCCTGCATATTTCATGCATATTTTCTCATTTTTAAGCGCATATGCATGTGCATATTTTAGGGCTTATTAGCTTATAAAAATCCGCTTCCTAATGACATAAGTCGAGAAGTGACTTCTCCAAATAACAGACTGAATTTTTTAGGGTGTGGAAAGGAAATGGGAAATGTGGGAAAATGGACCCAACAGGCAGAAACCGCGATTGCATAGGTCTCTATTGTGGTGCAGAAATGTGCAATTCCCCTTGTAACGAAGGCGAGAGGGGAAGAATGGGAGGGGCGAATTTGTGTGCTTTCGAACAGCACCTCCTCCAAATATCTCACGTGAAATTATCTCTATGGGCTGTTGGATGGCTTTCATAGGATTAAGTCTGCATTGACTTTACCTGGTTAATCACTGTTGAATCACCCGGCAAATACATATCCACTCGAGAACCGAACCTATATTGTGTTAGTTGTCTGAGTAGACGTTGAGGACAAGAGGTCCTCAGTGCATGATCTGCAAGACTGCAAAAATAGTTCATGAACAAATTTAATAGAGAAATGACTTCAGTTTATTGGCACTAGCACACCATCAGCCAGACATAGCGCCATTAATTATATTTAAAATTGTCATACAGCATACGTGCCATACGTCCTTCACCGAAACAAACTTTCTGATAGAATACATTGCTGGTGTCCTTTAGAGCGAATGTAAGGCACTCGCGTCAAAACTTAACGTCCTTGCCTTAAAAATTAACGTACGCTCCATTGAAAGACATTGGGGAGGTTCTGGTCGGTTTCGCTTTGTATGGCTGACAGGGCGGGCATCGATCCGCGAGACTCCTCGCCTTCCCATTCACAGCAATGGATCGTCCAGAGAGTTTTGCCGATGGTGCGTTAAGTTTTGACTCCAGGTACGTTAGAAATTGATTGTAGGACGTTCTGTTGTCCCTTTTGGAGAGCGGAAATTGAATCTCGACAGCAGTACGCACAGTTTTGACACGGGTACGTTAAGTTTTGAAAGTATTACATTATCGCCTTTCCGTATTCGGAGGAATTATTTTCCCGGTCTGCTTCTTGGCCGTCCATAGACTTTCCCAACCCCGTACGTTAGAATATTGAAGAACGTACTTTGATTTTGACGAAGGGACGCCCTTTTGACTGCCGGACGCATAGACATGAGAAAAGAGCGCAGCGTTTTGCGGATCGTACGTTAAGTTTTGAAAAATGTCCATTGAGATATGAAATAGGGCTTTAGCAATTGAGAAAAACTTTAAAACATTTGCAGATTAAGGTGATAAGCCGAGCACCCGACCGCCTCGGATTTCCGTTTGAAATTCTCAACGATTATGACGAAAAAAAGAGAAAAAGAAAAACAGATAATAATTTTAAAAAATCGGTCCCGTTGTACCAGCTGTTACCGAGATACCGCCCCCGAAACGTCGGGGCGAAATTGGAAAGAGGGCAAAATTAGCAGTCCGGGAAATGTTCAAATGTTGATCTTGCAGGGGCGCGCGACAGTGTCACCTGGCTTTAACCGGTGAATGAATCGTTTCTCGACGCATCATCGCAATTTTTAAATGAAATTTCAGAATTGCATTTAAATTTTGAATAATAAAATCATGAAGTTTTGACCTCCCCCCCCCCCCAATTTTTTTTCGAGGGAAATGAGAAATCTCTCTTTAGTTGCACTTACATTTGATGCTCATCGGTAAATCAAGTTGTTTCATTTCTTGTCCTCAGCATGGAGAAAGATTCCCCAAAAGTGTTGACATGTCAGCCTTTGGCCGACCTTGAGGATTTTTTGATGTGGTGGGCGACATTCGGTATCCAGATGAGTATCATTGGAAAGGTGAGCTCCAGATTTTTTCGATCGTGCGTAAATTGTGCCTTAAAAAAAAAAATTAATAATAAAATTCGAAAGTTCCGCATTCTAAAATGAAGGCTTTTTATTTATTCGAACGACGGCATGCAGAGCTCGATACGATAATGAGGGTAAGTTGTAGTCATCTGCAGGCGAAGCCAGCAGTCGAAGGCCAAAATGCCGCTCGGCTTAGCCATCCCCAAGTAACGTGTCGTGAGTCGCAATTATCTGAAGAAAGACGGGTCGATATCGGCCCAAATCAATGTGGAAAGGTCTTTCGGCGACAGGACCATGCTTAGCCGCGTGAATAAAAAGTGAAGCGTTATGAATTGTTACTTTTAAGTTTTATTCGTCCATCGTGTTCTTTAAGACCCCAAATCGCAACCGGCAAGGTCGCTCGGGACCGGGAAGGCCGAATCGCCGAGGGAACCGGACCTAGACGCATTCACGTGACCGGGATGATCGCGAGGCGTGGCAGTCCGTCCAGTCACGCTCACTCCCGCTTCCTCACACATCAAGTCGAGTGGCATCTCCAAGGTCTCATTTTTGGGGTCTAATGTATGATCATGAAGGGGGCTCCGCTGCTGACAAAGGGGAAAGGTGGGGGGGGGGGGGGGCAAAGAAGAATTACTGTCGATCGGCAGCAAGCAATTTGCATTTCAAACTAGGATTCATCTAATCCATCCTGTCTGTGAGAGTTGCTCGGTCAAGTTAAGCACCAATACAGGGATGGAAGCGTCAGTTCGTAAACGGGTGCTTATTTATGGACGATTTAGCTTTTTTGTTATACTAAACTACCTCCCCCGAAAATTCATATTTCATTACTTTACTTAGGTCAATATGCATAGGCAAATTATCGAGCAGTCAAGGATATGAATTTCTGGGGTAAATATTTTAGGATGGCAGGAAACTGGTCCACAAACTAGTATCTCTACCCCTGTATCGAAATGCGAAAGGTCTCTCTCTCCCCATGGATGTGTTCCTGGTGAGGTGGCGCTTATCGCCCCGAATGTGCGACTCTCACATGAACGGGGAGGGGAATTTTTTTTAGTTCCTTCAATCTCATTCCACTTGCACGTTCCAGATCGACATGACAGCAATGTTAAATCCTCCCCGAGGATATGAGAATCATTCGACCAACCCACAAAGACAGGTGGAACAGCCGCCATTAAGGTTGAGCACGTCACTCGGTGACGCCCAGTAAGAAACTGGATGGGATTCAAATGAAACGAATGCCATCCGAGTTCTCTTAGATCGCATCTGTTGGAAAGTTTCTGGAAACGGATGAGTTTTAACTAATCCGTTTGAGCTCCCTCTTCCCTCGCAGCGAATTTTCCCCTCTTGAAGTTGCGTAATTCCATTCGGGTCCGGTGACCGAGTTTGTTTCGGGCCTCAGAGCGAAACCCGGTCGGCGAGAGATCGAACCCCAGCGGCGAAGGGCCCTTCGACGGGCGACCCACCTGCTTTCTGCGACGTAACCGCTCCGCATCCAGATCACATAAACACCATTCTGCGAGTCACGTCCAGGAGATTCTGCCTCGTCGAGTTTACAAAATATAGGAAATGGAAGAAATATGAAGGGTGTGAGGAAATGTAGGGCACCGGCGAGAACACGCCCAGAATTTCATCTCCCCACTTTTTCAGAGTTTCGCGTCCCGGAAGAAGCGAATCGGTATGTGCAACAACGCACGACCCGTGATGTAAGACCGCGACGATGGACCTTGAAACGTAATTGTCGGAAGAACATGCCCGGGCATGGGCATGGGAGGGCCAAGGTGGAGGCCGCCTTCTTCGCCTTGAAACGAATCACTCACCTTCAACCCCGACGACTTTTCGCCAGCCCGACCGGCGAGAACCCGGCGAGAGAGACTAGCGTCGTGTCGCACAATGGAGGCTCTTCTCGTCTGCTTCATTTTCCTTCTCATTTCGGACTCGGCTCGATCAGCTTCCGCGTTGAGGCAGAAGCGATCCGATCCCGCCGCTGCATTCCTCAAGGTGAGACACATTTTTTCCTCGCTCGTTTCACGATTTTTCGTCGATCGAGCCGCTTCACTCAGTTTACCGCCGTCATTTAGCAATCGATCTAGCTGACGAAAAATTGCGTCTGCGTCGTGTGAGGGTTAGAAAGGCAGGGCATGTCTCGGCAGGGCATTCTCATGGATCCAACCAGTCTGACAAACGCAGAGAGCTAAACCCTTCGGTTAATCAAGTTCTAGATCTCTTTCCGTACTCCCCTCTCAAGGCCGATGTGGTCTCTAAACGGGGGGGGGAGGGGGGGGGGGGGAATGTCAAGTGGGAGCCTTCCACTGGATCCACTTTCTCCAAACGTCTCCGAAAGCGAGTAGAAAAAGTCGCGACGGAATCCGATGCAGAAGTGCAATTCGGTTTAACGAATTTGCATGTTCAGGTTTATCCCCCCAACAATATATTCTACACCCGTGTGGCAACTCTTTCAGCCCCGGTCATGGCTTCATAATTTTCACACACCCGGAGATTATCATATTCGTTCAGTTCCGCTTTCGGGCGCAGAGTCTATTTGGAATGGCGATTCCAGGATGAAACAGAGAATGCCGCTCAAGCCTGGCCGGATTCGTAGAAAATAGGCTGCCAGCAGATTTTAAAGTCTCCATCTGGAGAGATTTAACCCTACAATGCATGAATATTTTTAATCCACCAAAAACATTTTTTACCATATTTTTTCATGTCGTTCATGAGGAAAATAATGAAAAATTTCTCCTTTCATTTTGGTTTCTCCATTGTGTTGTAATGCGTTTCAATGCAAAGCAGAGCGTGCCATATCTGGCACACTATGCAAGAGATGAACGAAAATAAAACTCGACTCATATTCTATTGGAACCCCCTCGGATAGGTAGATACTTTTACATGTGATTAAATCTTGTATCAGTGGACTTGGATTGATTCATGATTGGATTGGGTCGATTCATGGACTGAACTGAATCGATTCAAGGACTGGTCTGGATCTATTCAAGGATAGGATTGGATCGACCAATGAAGCCATAATATTAAGGGGGGGGGGGGTGAAACACTGATATCCGCATGCGAACTCAACACGTTCTCAGTGATCTAATTATATTTCCTGTGCCCACGCTTCTGCCATACTAGATCTGGGACTTCATACGGCAGATTAGAAGTAGAAGCGTTGCGAAATTACACAAATTTTGCGAAAATAAAGCGAATTGCAGAAGAGGAATGTCAGAGGAATTGAAAAAATGGCTGACCCGGGAAAATTAATGCACTTATGATTGAAATATATTTAATCACCTACCAAATAATAATGAACTTGTCACCAAATATTTTCCGCCCGCAAAAAATGTTGACTCCATCACCAGATCACAATGAATCTTCACCAAATTGGAGTCCGTCCCCAAATTCTTATTTTTATTTCATCAAATATGATTGCACCATCACAGGTGCTGGTATCACCGAATTTGCATTATCCTGCACCAAAAAATTGCTCTCATCAAACTTATGACATCTTCAGCATTTGCAAACCTATCAAGGAAAGAATTTGTCTTTATTTCCAGTTAGACCTCTGATGGCAAGATGAGATCGTAAGATCATGCTTTGTGGGACCTTCGAGGGAGGACCTGTGTAACTAGTCTCCTTGTGTTTGTGTACATGTATGGGAGTCGTGTACGGCGCTGACTTCCAGTTTCTGTGTGCTCTACGTAGTAGAGGTGTCATGGCAACTAGAGAGTTTGATGACATTGAAAAAAGGAGACGCCTTCATTGCCTGCAGTGATGACAACCCCACGAGGGAAGAGTTTCGGAAAAGTACACAAGAGTATCTAATCAGAAACCAGGAGCATTAGGAGAACTTAGAGAACAAGGCTCTTCCTCCGAGTTGTGAGAGCTCCAAATTTTGAATGCACATTGCCCTGCTTGGATCAAGATTGGCAAACATTCACTCGGAATGCTGATTCACAGCAGGGATAGTCAGTGTGTTCTGCCCTGCAGGCTCGCTAAAAGAAATGTTTTTTCTTTTTACACACGAAATGTTTTGGTGCTAACTCAATACAATTTAGAGGTCATTTCATGGCATCTGGTGAAAATACTTAGGGAAAATTTGGTGCAAGATTCATTAGGTCTGGTGATGTAATCATTTGGTGATGGTAATAAGAATTTGGTGACGTAAATTCATTGAGTGACAAAATAATAAAATCTGGTGATGAATCATTACTTCTTCGCGACAGAATCAATATTATTTGGTGATGAATAAAATACTAACCCTTTTGATTTAAGGATCAATAGGAGACGAGAGACTTGGTTCCCATGTAATTTTCTCAAAATAAAATGTCAAGTTTTTATTTGAGCAAGAGGAGCTGTTGTAAATGTAAAAGGTTATATTAATACATATATTTGTGCCTCTCCTTGGTTCAGATATTAATAATTTAAACAAAAATGTTTTCCTGGTATTTTCTCCCCACAGAAAATCAGGTTTCCGTTAAAACAAGGTTTGACTTCGGCCCACTCGTTGACTTTGAAATTCGAAGATGAAAAGTAGCTTACATCTGAGCCTGTCGCTCCCGACCGGTAACGTTGAAAAACCTTGAATACAAAGCAAGGCCTTTCCCGGAGATGGGTTTACATTTCACAGTTTGCAGCATATTTTAAATAAATGAAAAGTGACTCCGAATCGACAAATGAATACGGAATGCACGTACGAGTTCCACAATGTTTGCCGTTCATTTCCATTTCAGCTCAAGGGCGTTTCTATTGACGTTGGTTCATCGCTCTAGGATGTCTGTTTATGGCAAAGTCTTTGGGATTCAAGATACTTGTTGGTAAAGTTGCAAGTTCTAGGGCCTACTCGAAACGGGGGAAATAAATAAGAAGAAAGAACCTCGAGCTCTGAACGAATGACCCCAACACCACAGAACCCCACCAGATACTAAAATGCCATAATCGCCCCGCAGGACGAGGGTGGGACCGAGCCGGGGAAGGAGGAGATAGGAAGCAGCCCAGCCCCCACCTACGACATCTCGCTGCTGCTCCCGCCGAACGATCTCGTGGACACGGCGCTCAGCATTGTTCGGATCGTCTTCGAGCAGGTCGACAACCTCGCTCCCGCCAAGTCCATCGAAGTGCCCCTCGTGGAAAAGTCGGTCCCGATCCCCTTCGCCTCCCCGAGCCTGCTTCTCGAACGTTCTAACGTTTCTCTTTCCGATCGCGAAGGTCCATCAGCATTCCGCTCATCGGATTTCACCTGCCGCTCGGGACAAAAGTCAAACTGAAAGACGGGACCATATACGGATTGCAAAGCGTAGTTCGCAACGTGAGATCGTTTTCGATATTCGCCAGCTAGTCGAGAGGTAAGCCTTATTTGAACCCTTATTCCTTCCTAGGGAGAAGCAACGCTGAGAAAAGAAGGTAGAGTCTTTATTATTGCTGGTCCTGTACTCGTGAAGTTCGTCCAGATAAACTATACTATGGAATTTCAAGTTCTCTTCCTGAGTTTTCGTGAGAGAGTGGTGATCGATGCCAACGACATCTCCATAAACGCAGAGGTATGTGAGTACTCGATCGGAGTACATGACTTGGAATTTTCCCGATTTTCTAAACGTCTTCGCGAATCACGCAGGTCCGAGCGATCATCGAGCTCCCGAACACGGGAAACTTGAACATCACCAGGTTCGAGGTAACTGATGTGGGGGACATGAGACTGAGATTGGAAAGCAGCAGAAAGGCCGCCTTCAACGGGTTCCTCAACAAGGTACGAGCATCGTCTCCGTAGCCTTGAATCGAGTCGTAAAAAGAGACCTCGCGGGACGCACGTGGTGCGGAACCGGTCACGTGACCCCCTCCGCATCCGAGATTCGTGCCCCGCCCGATGACGTCACTTCTTCTCAGATGCTGAGGAAAGCACGCGTTTCTTTCCGAGACGTCATATTCAACCTCCTGGCGGATCTGGGGAAGGATGCCCTTGAGAAAGCAGCCGACAAGGGGATACGAGAAATAAATGAGCTGACCCGTTGATGGACTGCCCCCTACCGAGGAGAAGGTGTGGCTTCCCCTTTTTTTTTCGATCCAGCTACAAAGGGTGCATAATAAAATCCAAAACGTATCGAGTGTAGAGGACGTGAGTCATCCGAAAAGTGTCGAGCATTGTTCGTAAGTCATTTATTTCTCAGAATGATCTCTTGACATTTTCAGAAAATGTTTTAAAGAGTGATACCTACTCGACGCAGTCACCGATGAGCTCCATGCATTTCTTACACCGTGGCATCAGACCGTGAGAGCCGAGATATCCTTCTTTGGCCAGGCCCGGTAGAGATGCTTCGTTGATGGCGTCATTGATGGCGCCGGTGTCCTCAAACTGTCGTCCACGCGAGCTTTCCTTCACTTTCGGGAAGAGGAAGAATTCGCTTGGCGACAGATCCGGCGAGGAAGCCAGTGGGCGAGCACATTCCGGTCACAGTTTCCATGTTCTCAGAGACGTGGCCCATCTCGAAGGCGATGTACATCACGTGCTTCGATGCACAAGGTGTCATCTGCATTACCCCAAAACTAAGTGGCCGACGGAGACTACATGCACACCCTCCGTGATTCTATCCGGCCAGCCATACGCAATAAACGCCCCACCTGCTGGAAACAGGCGTTATTCTGTCGCAAGACAGCGCGGCTCCTCGTCGGAAACGGAAGTCATGGAGGCCACGGCAGACTGAGACTGGGAGGTGCTCGCCCACCCGGCTTACTCGCCGGAACGGTTTCACTTCTTCCTCTCATCCGAGGTTAGGGAGAGATTGCGTCCACGACGGTTTGAGGACGCCGGCGCCATCAGCAATGCCTATAAAGCATCGCTGCTGGATCTGGCCGAAGGAGGATGACATCCTGGTTTCCACGGTCTGTTGCCAGGTCTTAAATGCTTGGAGCTCGTCTGTCCCTGCGCCGAGGAGGTAACGTTCTTAGAAACGTTTTCTGATCATTTAATGAGATTATGTCGAGAAATATATGACCTTTGGAACAATACTTAAGACTTTTCGGATGACCCACGTAAACAAAACTTTTTTTCTATTCAGAGAAAATGATGCTAAATGGAGCATTGAAGTATGATTGATAAATATGGGCTTTTCGAGCTTTCTTTGCCATTCGTGACGTCACCCGGCTCGCCTCTCGAGAGAGTCAGCAGCTGACGTTCTGGTGGTACAGTACAAGGAACTGAGGAAGACCAAACATTTTCTGCACTGGACTTCGTTTAGTATGATTATTTGAATATTTTCTTTCAATTACAAAATTCCGATTTTTATTCCACGCTTACATATCTGTGAGTAGACCTGAAAAGTCTTTTAAAGTACTAGTCTAGTAGTACAGTTTTTATGTGCTATCAGTTGCATTTATGAGTGTTTTGTTCATCGTTTTGTTCTCAAGGATCCTCAGTTAAGATGAGGTGCTTCGTCGTACTTTCCAACGGCTTTTGATTTTAGAGTGGGCTTTCTCCCTCCCAGGTCCATCACTGTGATTTTCCTGAGAAGAGATCCTACAAATTGGTTGTTTTTTTATTGTTGCCGACGCATTTTATAAACATCGATGAGAAAACGTATGACTTGGCATATTTTCTCCACTTTCTTGCCTTCCGAAACGGAAAGAGACCGCTTTCGCACGGTTTCCTTTCCTCTTGGGTGGTCTAGGACAGTAACTCTCGGCTTTTCCAAATCTTTATCCCTTTCGGAGCGGAGGGAAACGGCATGAACTCCTTTCGCTGGCGCTAAATTTGCATGCTTCTAAAATTTGCATGCTTCTAAAATTTGCGCGTGTAGTTTTAAGGAGTCAGTTGAAAAGTACCAGCCCTTTTTAATGTAATTTTGTTTTGTTTTGTTTTGTCTGCTATTTAATGAAGCCTCGCCGCGGATCCCGATCGAGATTTCACGTCAATTTCACACCGATTTCACCCTATTTTCGCACTGATTTCACCCTGTTTTCGAACCGATTTCACCCTGTTTTCGCATCGATTTCACCCCGATTTCACTCACGGGTGACGTGCGCCTCATTGGTTTAGGAGCTAATCTGGTCTATTTCTAGGCAAATACGGTTAAGAATTGAGTTGAATTCGTCGTTAAACTGACTTGGGACGTGCACCAAATGCAATCTGTTTATTTCTATCCTAAACTAAATTTAAAAGATAGGCTTGCTCCATAGCAGGATCATCTGAATAATCTAGAGCAGGATTATCTATAGCAAGATCAAAATGATTCTCAAAAGTAGATCAGCGTGCTGTTTCGCCGTAGTGAGCCTCAGTTTTCTTGCATGTTTTTGAACTGATCCCGAGCCAACCGGCCACGTGGACCAAGATTCCATTGAATAATATGGAGTCGAAATAGAATAACATGAAGATGAAGTCGGAACGAGGTTTCGACTCATCAAGGACACCGTCTCGGACTTGGCGCGGACGCAGCTGGCACAAAATACCGCTCGCGATGACGTGTTACTTTCGATTTGCATTTATAACTTCATCCTTTATCCATGTAAAGTGAGGATTCTCTTTCACAGTGCTCCCATACCGACTTTAAGGGCGTTTAAATCACGGATAAACGTGTTCGTGGGATCTGATTCTCATTGGCGAATGTCAACGATAAACAAATGGTGACATGGACCGGATTCGTTTCCATAACGGGCTTCTATGGGAATAAGTTTATCTCTGTTAAACTGTTTCCCATAGGGGGCCGTTGTGAGATCAGATTAGTTTAGCTTAAACGGATTCGGTGCATCCCAGCCGGCAATTCATCTCCGGCCCAAGCGTGTTTATCTCCGCACGGTCAGAAGTTCCAAGCTTGGCCCACGTTCGCGAGCCACACGCGTACACGTGCGTCACGGGTGTAATATGCATAGGGCGTAACCTAAATGTCCGCGTTTTCTGTGGCACCCAGTCTAATGCATCTGGGGGGCAAGTGTGGCTCATGTGTATGGCAGGTCCGCGACAAGCAGAGCCACGATTGCGTATCTACATGTGCAAGCATGGTGCGAACGAGGTATATGCAAATGCGTCTCCATATATGTCCGCTTTTTCTGCGGCAACCTGATCGTAGTACTAATTGTAGTACGTTTCAGGGAAAGGTCCATCCGTGATGTTCTATGGAGTATACACAAATTTAATTCCTAGTTTCCTCATTCCAACCATAGTACGGAGAACCGGGGAAGTGAATCCGCTGACACTTTATTCTAAAACTCCTGTTAAATAAATTTATGCTGCTTTTTTTTAAGTTAGGAGCTAAAGGTATGGTGGGCCCCGCTGTCATGTGGTGGACCGACACATGACTCTCGCCCACCATGGTGAGATCCTCCCAACATAAGGGCTGG